CTGTCCTGAAAATTTGAAGTAGAAGCCGACTCTGATAATCGATCACTCTTCTTCTGCTCTAGCAGGTGCCGAGCATCTGTGAACGTTTGCTTTGACCCATCCGCCTGAATATGACGAACAGGTTTCCTATTTCCCGTAGGATAACGGAGTTTTGTGAAATCAAGAGCAGGTGGCTCCCGCTTCTTGGATTTAGGATGGGGAGTCGCCTCTCGCCCTTGAACTGGCTTCCTCTTCAGTGAAGTGGAAGGTTTCTTGGCCGACTGCTCTTTGACTGAAGCAGGCGGTTTTTTGTTGATCAACTCTTGAATCTCTCCCTTGAAGTCCCTCATGAAGGTCATGAGTTCGTTCCTTGTGATGGGAGCAGACCCATCAGTCGGCTGTTGCCGAGCAAGCGGTGCGCCTGCTGGCCCGCTTCCTGTTTGAAGATGCTCCCGTTCCCTCCTTTCGGTATGACGGGTACGTCGGGCCCTTAGGGTCCCGTCTGGAGCTGTATGAGTTTCAACTTCAAATTCACTTTCGGTATCATGGTCCGACTGAACTTGAGGGTCGTCTATGGGACGCCTCTCTTCTGGAGTCGGTACAGACTTGGATGCCATCTCTGAAGTACTCTCCCCACAGACGGCGCCAAATGTTTCGGGGTTTTCTGATGTCCTGCGGGAGAGTTACAATTCCGAGACTGGAACCGGACGCCTGTACCTGCAAAATAACGGAGACTCCTGAGAGCTCCGCCTCCAACGGTCAAGTTAGTACCTGATTAAGGAGTAGTTAATACAGAAATTAAAGTAATGAGATCTCTCTAGGTGAGAGTGCTTAGTGTTGGTAATCTGCGTCGTTAGCGAGACTAGCCGGTTGTTAATAACTCTGTTCTTCTCTGCTTGATTTCTTGATTATTCGATCGATGATTAATGAAGATTAATTGAGTATTTATAGCCTTGAGAAGCGTGCAACTCTCTAGGTTTAAGGTAAACCTAGGGCTGTTCGGGCCTCTAGACTGGATTGGGCCTTGATGGCCGGTTTTCCCATTTGGCATGGGTGGACACGTGGCGTGTCTAAAGTGGTCCGTAGAGGACGTATCTGTGATTGACACGTGGCAGGCTCCTGTTGTCCTTCGTGAAGGACACGTGGCGGAACCTGGTTGGTCCACTTGTCAGACGGTGAGTGGTGGATAAAAATCCCCTAATCAACGATGTCTTCCCCTTTTATTTTTGGTAATTTAATTGCTTTGATTTATTATGCTTTGTTTAATTGCTTTGATTAGTTTAGTTTTAATTATGCACGAGTAATTTATTTCTAGGGTTGTGGGGATCCATAAATAATATGAAGGGGTAATTTATTATTGTTGATTGTTAATGCTTTTGTTGATTTCCTATTGATTGATTTAATGCTATGTAATTAGATTAGTGCTGGTTTAATTGTATGAGTTACGCAATATTGATTCGAGATTCCAGAGATGAGAATTGATGTTTAGGCTTAGTTTCAATAGGCAGGTTAATTTATAAATGGTTAAGTCAAGATTCGAGAGATGCGATTTAATACCGGTAGATTGATTCTGTGATCGTAATACGTAGCGAAAGCCCTTTATGATCTGATTAATTGATGCATTGATGGTTGAGTGTTGTGTTTTACCCTGGAATACTATTTATTGGTGAGCCTATACCCTAGGCATTTTATTATTGATTATTCCATTAGTTTAATTATAGTTTGTAGTATAATTCTCACAATTCTTACTTGTTACTTCATAATCTAGATTATATAAATTATTTAGGAATAGGAAGACTTGTTTTCCTGTGGATTCGACCCTACTTCCCTATCTAATTTAGTTATCCTGTCACTCATGCTATGGCTACAAAGGAGGGTCGAGTGTGTTTGACGGATGGCATTATTCTTGAAAATGTTTTATTTGTACCAAAATTAAATTGCAATTTAATATCGGTCTCAAAAATGATTGATGATTCACATTGTTTTGTCCGATTCACTGACTCTTTATGTGCTATACAGGACCAACACTCGGGGAGCCTGATTGGAGTTGGTGAACGGATAGATGGACTCTACTACTTCCTGCGAATTCCTACAGTATGTGCGGTGACGAATCCAGAGGTTTCTACATTTGAGTTGTGGCATCGTAGTATGGGACATCCGTCGGACAGAGTTGTCAAGTTAGTATATGCTATTAGTGCTAGTTCTAGTAGAAAATTTTTGAATAAAGCTTGTGAAATTTGTCCTCAAGCTAAACAATCACGGGATAGTTTCCTTGATAGTGATAGTAGAGCTAGTCGTATTTTTGAAATGATACATTGTGATTTATGGGGTTCGTATAAGACACCTTCTACTTGTGTTTTTGACTATTTTTTATGACTATTCTAGAGGTGTTTGGGTTTATTTGTTGAATGACAAAACTGAAGTTTATTCTTCTTTTTGTTCTTTCTTTGCTATGATAAAATGTCAATTTGATGTCACTGTGAAATGTGTGCGAAGTGATAATGGTACGGAGTTCAAACACATGCTACCCTATTTTAATGAACATGGCATTCTTTTTCAAACTTCTTGTGTTGGTACACCTCAACAGAATGGTCGGGTAGAACGTAAACACCAACATATTCTTAATGTTAGTCGTGCTTTGATGTTCCAGGGCAATTTGTCAATTACTTTTTGGGGAGAATGTGTCCTTAGGGCGGTTTATTTGATTAATCGTACTCCATCCCGCTTGCTAGCTAATAAAACCCCATATGAAATTATTTTCAGCAAATAACCAAATTTCGATGAGTTACGGGTGTTTGGGTGTCTCTGTTTTTCTCATAATAAAAAATCTAAGGGTGACAAGTTTGCTCCTCGAAGTCGAAAGTGTGTGTTTGTGGGCTATCCTCACGATAATAAGGGTTGGAAGTTGTATGACTTAGAAACGGGTGATATTTTTGTCTCTCGGGATGTTAAATTTCATGAAAATGAATTCCCATTTGTGACTAGTGGTGACTCGACACTTTCTCATGTAAGTGTCGAAGGAGAGTCTAATGTTGATGGTGGGATTGACTTTGATTTCTTGGATGATCTTGAGCATGTGCTTGAGGTTGGTGAAACCTCTACTGAGCTGGGTTCACGGGACAGCAGTGACTGCACCTTGCTTGACACCCCTAATCCAAGTCCTAATGCTACCCCTGCTACAACGCCTGCTGCTACCCCTCTAGATGCTGCTGGCAGCCTGGTTCGCGACACCCCTGCGGCGACCAGTGCTGACCGCAGCTCACACGCCGCTGCTACTGCTAGCGGTATGGGCAGCAGCACAGGGGATGATCCGAGCTCTTCTCCTCTTGTTTTGGGACGTGGTCAACGTCCAAGGCATTCTCCGGGCTGGCACCGTAATTATGTGGCACATACTGTTTCTCTCCCCGGTCCATCTATCTCTCAACGTTCATCGTCTCCTCCATGCTCCTCAAGTACTCCTTATCCTTTAGCACATTTTGTGAATTGTGATAAATTTTCTATGCGACACCGTGTATTTATTGCAGTTGTTGACAACGTGGTTGAGCCACGTAATTTCAAGGAGGCTATGCAAGATGTGAGGTGGATAGAGGCGATGCAAAACGAAATATCTGCCTTGGAAAGTAATGGTACATGGGTGATGGAAAAATTACCTTCGGGTAAGAAATCTCTTGGATGCCGATGGGTTTACAAAGTCAAGCTTAACTCGGATGGCTCAGTTAAAAGATTGAAAGCTCGTCTCGTGATTTTTGGTAACCATCAGGTTGAGGGTATCGATTATAACGAGACATTTGCTCCCGTTGCTAAAATGGTTACTATTCGTGCAGTTGTTGCTGTTGCTGCTGTGAAAAATTGGGAATTACACCAAATGGATGTCCACAATGCTTTTCTACATGGCGATCTTGATGAGGAGGTTTATATGAAACCTCCTCCTGGGTTTCATGGCTCTCAATCTGGCATGGTGTGCCGTCTTCAAAAGTCTTTATATGGACTACGGCAAGCACCTCGTTGTTGGTTTTCAAAATTGGCCACCTCTTTGAAAAGGTACGGATTTTCGCAATCGTACTCTTATTACTCTCTCTTTACTCTGAATCATGGGGTTATTCATCTTAGTGTTCTGGTGTATGTTGACGATTTAATAATTTCGGGGAATGATTCTTCTGCAATTTCAACATTCAAAGCATATTTGAGTGACTGTTTTCATGTGAAAGATTTGGGTGTGTTGAAGTATTTCCTTGGTATTCAGGTTGCTCGGAACCCGGAAGGCATATTTTTATGTCAACGGAAATATACTCTTGATATTATTGCAGAGTCTGGTTTGTTAGGGGCACGTCCGGCAGGTACTCCTATTGAGCAAAATCATACTCTGGCTAAATCAGAGACTCCTCTTATTGCAGACCCCGAAAAGTATCGACGTCTTGTGGGACGTTTGATTTATTTGTCTTTCACTAGACCTGATTTGGCTTACACAGTTCATATCTTGTCTCAATTTATGCAACACCCTCGACAAGACCATTGGAAGGTGGCACTTCGTACGGTTCGCTACTTGAAAGGATGTCCGGGTCAAGGAATCCTTTTGAGTTCAGATTGCGATTTACATTTGACAGCTTGGTGTGACTCGGATTGGGCTAGTTGCCCTTTGACAAGACGATCGATTTCTGGCTGGTTGGTGTTTCTTGGTGGTTCCCCTATTTCTTGGAAGACTAAGAAGCAGCATATTGTCTCTAAGTCTTCTGCAGAGGCAAAGTATCGTTCGATGTCTAAAATAACTGATGAGTTAAAATGGCTAAAGGCTCTACTCAACACTTTGGGAGTTTCACATCCGCGTGCGATGAGCTTGTTTTGTGATAGTCAATTTGCGTTATATATTGCGCAAAAAACCGGTCTTCCATGAACGCACTAAGCATATTGAGGTTGATTGTCATTATGTTCGGGACGCTATTCAAGAAGGGGTTATTTGTCCGTCATATGTAAAGACAACGGATCAGTTAGCGAATATTTTCACTAAGGCATTGAGTAAAAACCAATTCTTGTATTTACTTGGCAAGTTGGGTATTTGTGATTTGCATGCTCCAACTTGAGGGGGGGTGTTAGGCCCGTATATAGTGTATAGCTTGTGGTCCAATGTTATAGAGCCCTAATCTCTTTTAGATTGTATATATACCTATTCATACTCTAATAAAATTAGAGAAAAATTAATTCCTGACATCCTCGGATCCTCCAAAAAGTCACAAATGTTGACCATTTCTATCCACTTTCTCAGTCACAAAATCACAATACAATTATCATGAACTAAGTAGCCGTTAACCTCCTTTTCTCACTCCCATCACTTCCCACTCCTCCCACATTTTCCTCACACACAAGTTTTCTCTCTATCTCTCTCCTCATTTCATGTTTTCTCTCTCTAAAAATGGCTGATTTCTCCTTTCTATCAGACACAGATGAATCTGCAGTTGAACAAATTTTAGCAGAAGCAATGGATCACTGTGTTCTTCAACAAGTTGCCGCCATTAATTGTTCTTCTTTCTCTCACTCTGTTCTTCCTTCTAACCTTGAATCTCGTTTCCAAAGGCTCAAAACCTTCCCTTCTTCTTCTGCTTCTTCTTCCAATCCTTCGAAACCTGTGCCAAAACCCCAACTCGGCCCTAACTCAGCCAACGAATTGAAGAACTCAGTGACCGAATTGAAGGATGAAAAACCCATTTCTGATGATTTTGTAAAAACCCCAGAAAAAACCCCAGAAAAGGAAAAGAAATCTGACAGAAAATCTGGTTCTGGGTATTTATCTTCTTCTGGGTCATCGAATTCTTCATCTGGGTACTTGAATTCTCCCAATAACAGGGGAAAACAGGGTGTTAAAAAGGGTAAAGATGGAAACTTTTCATCAGGGTCATCGAATTCCGGGTTGAAAGCTTCAACAAAATCTGTGAAAACGGGTTGTTTTTGGTGTTCTCCGAAACGGGTTTCGAGGAAGAAGAGTGATGGTGGTGGTAGTACTCGAAACAGGGCGTTTGAGTTGGGTGATGATTGGGGAAAACATGATGAAATATTGAGTGATTTGAGGTCATTTTCGGCAAAGAAGCAGAAGAATTTGATGAAGATTGCAAAGAAAGAAGAAGAGAAGATTAATAAAGAAGCAGAAAAGATAGTTAAATGGGCTAAACAAACTTCTGCAAGGTTGGATTTTTCCATCAATGATGATCTTAGTGATGATGACAGTGACTATAGTTTTGGACATCATTGATGTGAGCTTCTCTTTTTTGTTTTTTTTTATAGTCGAGTACCTGATAGGTGAATGTATGAAATCAAATCAAGTTCCACCAAAGTTAGTAAAACATGGCACTATCATACAATAGACTAGTAGCAATACTTAGTAGTTCTATGAATGGTGTACAAATAGTACTTGTTAATTGTTGCACAAAACAAATAGTTCTATGAATGTTGTATAAATAGTACTTTTATGTATAAGAAAATGAGTTGCAATATGTTTAATATTTGATATTATATGTGGTGTGGTGAAGGGATTGTGCAATATAACCAGATTCTTGTACAGGATTAAATTGATTAGCATGGTGAGTCTAATGCGAGTCTTCTTTTTCGTTCACTTGATTACTTCCTGAAGCACTCTCCCTGTTTTACTTCTCAATTTGAATAAACAAAATGAAGCGGAAAGAATAAATAATTTCCATTCAAAATGGGGAGAATAGTTAATTTTTTTACATGAAATATTGGCAGCTTCTAATTGAAGTGCAAGTGAACCTTCATTTAGACTTTCAAGTTTTAAACGATACAAAGCATTCGGAAGAACATTATTTGATCAAATGGGCATACTGTCATTAGATCTTAAGCACCTTAGTGCGATATTCACCAAGTGCCCAAATCGGGAAGATATTTCTGTATGCGGCGTAAGTAATCATGCAGTTCCTGTTGAAAACACCCATGATCTCCTGTATAATATGAAAATATACAGAAATGTCAAAATTAGGAACAATAACTGAAATCACACAAAATAAAATAGGCAAGACATAAATACAACCTCCAAATTTCCTAACATCGACCCATTTTAGAAGGGTTTGAGGAAGTGTCAGATATATGCTATCTTACCCTAACCATAACTAATGGAGAGGGCGTGTCCAAAAGAAGAAATACAAATCCAAATTCTAAAGAAGAATCAGCTTGGATTCACCATATGATGATACTTTGCTACACGAATAACAAATGCAAAAGGTTACCTGCTGTGGAAAATCTCCATTTGGCATTTGAGAATTGATCAACACTTTAGCTGCTCGATGCAATGGCACTGGATCTCTCTCAGCCTGCACCCAAGTAGCAGTTTACAATGAAAAGGAAAATCCTTAGAACTTACAAGAACATAACATATATAAACTTTAGTCCAGATAAACCTCCTTGACCACTGAAGAATATTTGCAGATCATTAATATGATCATTCCAGACCTCTATTTCATATATTCAAGTGAAATTAGTAGATTTAGTACTATAATGAGCATTTGTGTATATTCCTTCATGAATTGAATTCAAAGAAGCTACAAGTTTTAATTTGTTTAAATCATACACAAATCTGTGGGAAACATGAAAACCTGAAAAACAAAACCAGCAAACCTCATGCAAATAAAATGAAGATGGTGGTATTGTGAAGGAAGAGTAATTTAAAACATACAGCTTTGGTAATCAAGAGAGATTTGGAGGCTTGTTGAGAAATATATATAGACAAGGAGTTTGCATGTGGTGGAAAAGGCTACCAAAAGAGATTTGCAAGGCATGTCAGTGAATTGAATAACGAAAGACGGTTAGAAATAGAACAAATTGTGTTAGTTCTAGAAACTCAGTTGAGTCAATAAAAAAAAATATAATGGATGAAAAGGTAGTGTGGAGCTTAAGCAATTCTAGAATGCCCAGACAAAAATAATGAAAAATGGAGCAAAAAGATTAGTGAAGCAGAGGAAATGATCAGTGTAATAATGGTAGTGGCTTTCAATAGAACTTAGGGCTGAACCTATGAGTCTAGCTCATGATAAACTTAGTTCCACAGCTTTGACTGCTTTATTATAAGATGGCCACGGGATGAGATGAGTGGGTGCTAGTTCAGATATTAGGATTGCTATGCATGACGACTGGCTCAATAGGAGTTAAAATATCGGGTAAAAAATTGGAGACTCGCACTTTCCCAAGATAACTCCACTTCAAGGTAATCCTGGAGATTTTCCGACTAGAAAGTATTTGGCCCAAAGGAATATCCTAGTGAAAAGGTCTTTGGTGCAGCCAAGTATGAGCAAGAGGAGAAGAACATGAATGATTTCCATAAATGCCAATGGATAAAAATAAAAAAAATAAAAAGGAATAAAAAGTTGGAAATTTTGCACTTTCCCAAAAGGCAGCACCTGCATTTGAAGGAATTCCTTCAGTATTCTTCAACCTCAGGAGGGTTGAAGAAACTGTAAAAAGAATGATTGGGGCATGCCAGGTCAATCCTAGTGGATAGGTCATTCATTGGTGTGGCCAAGTATGGGCAAGAGGAGATTAACATAAATGATTTTTATGAATGCCACTGAGCTAGAAAGGTCCTGCAACAGCGTTTAGATGCTCAAATCATTAACCAACTCAAGTTGCTTGATTTGCTTCCTGGAACAGTTCAGCTTGTCACGCAAACATATATTGTTAAAGTTGTGATGACAGGGACCTGACAATACATTGGTAAAGTGATGATCGGATAGTCAATGTGCAGAAAATCTATTTTCAAAACAAAGATGCCATCTCTATCCTGAAGCTCTTGAAGTTATGGTGGCACAACACTAATATTAGTGACAAGGAATGATACCAAGCTAGAGTTTGCCTATGTGGATGTATTAAAACTTGAAAATTTCTATCAGATTGAATTTAAAAACATTGATGCCACTTTAGATGCTCAAATTACCAAAAGGAAATTACTGAACTTGAGAGGGAAAGTATGGCCAGGGATGAGATTGGTACAAGAACGTTGGACTCTGATGATGATGATTATAATAGAATTCAAGAATTATTCCACCAATAGACTTGATAAAATAACTTGAAGAGGATGAGGGATGGCGTAAGGTTTGCTCCAGATGTTTGCTCTTTCAACTCTAAAAGAGCCTCAAAATATTATATGAAAAGTGGAGCTAGAAGATGAGTGAACCAAAGGAGATAGTCAATGTGACGATGTGGCTTTGCAATTTTGTAGACTCCAAAGCAGAGCAAAACCTTAGGCTAAAGTCAACGATGGCAGAGAGATGAAATGTGTTGGTGCCAATTTAAATTATACTTGTAAATTGCTATTTATGATAATAAAAAATGCACAATCATGAAAGACGGAGTTTCAAGGTAATTGACCACAAATCAATTACCACACTGGCTCTTGTGATTTTCATAAAAGTTAAGGGCCAGTTCGGGAATGTTGCTGTTCTGGATTTTTATGCTTCGTTTTTCTTAGAATACAAATGGAACTTGTTTTGGTAAGGTGCTGAAAAAAATTCAACTTTTGTTCAATTTTCATAAAACATAAACAAAAAAGTGAAACCCACTTTAATGGTTTGCTTTCTCTCCTTTCACAATCTCCCCCTTTATCGTTAGTAATATATAATCAACTCTCCTACCTGCTAATCCCAGTTCTTCCTTACATTCTTAACCTAACAATCTTTTCTTCCTTTCAAGCATTTTTTGAAAAAGGGGTTTAGAAAAGTATGGTTTATGGGATATTTTTGGATTTTTATAGTGACTGATAATATGGATTTAAATTGAGATTAAGTTGTACATTGTGAGGTTGTGCAAAAACAATCAAGCTCCTATTCACTGCGCTCTCGGGGACTGAATTTTTCCAATAAAAAGGAAAGAAGAAAGAAAGTAAGAGAGAAAGGGTGGGAGGAGAGGGGAGGGAGGGAGGGAGGGAGGGGGTACTTCAGTACCTGCTTTGTGGAAAAATGAAGTAGGGAAAAAAAATAGTTTAATAAAGCAAATTTTAGGTGCAATTAAAGGAAGCCTATAAAAACAGAAAAATCAGCCAGCAACATTCTTTGGGGATGGAGTATTCATCTGTGAATGTAAATGTTACTACGGCAAAGTATACCTGCCCAGCACCAATTAGAGTCAGCATTGCCCATCCTGTATTCACTACATGAGCTTTGTCGCCCTCGATATTTGTATATACCTGGATAAAAAATGAAGACAAGAAATAGAAGTGAACATTGCTGCAGTGTGAAGGAAATAGCAGGAACATTGCTACAAGGTTGGGTTAAGCAAAGACAATATTACAGAAAATGATCAGCATTCATCATCAAGCTCATCATCCATTTCATACATTAGTTTGAATCATAGACTTTTGACCAAATTTATAGAGAAAGAATCCAAAGAAATTTCATGTAGTACCACAGCATGTAACCATTATATGAAAACAATCCTAAATCTTGTCAAATCTGTGTCATTGTCTCTCTGAATTTAACCAGAGAAATGCAGAACAGCACACATTTATAAAACGTTTGACTAGATATTGCAGATATCATGTGAGTTGAATTTCTGGATGCCATTTGCCATTGAACTTATGTTCTCTATGCTATTTTGAACCTAACCTTGTTCTGACATGACAAATAGCTCTCTCCCCAGCCACCTGAAGAAAGCTGTTTAGATAACATATAGTCACAGGCTTTACGAATGCTGGGGCAATTGTCATAGTTCTTTCCAGCTGCGATCAATCCTAGGACCCCAAACCATGTTCCATATGTAAAGCAGACTGCCCAGGAGCCATACCTACAAAAACCTCTCAATGTAAGTATTTTGGATTTATAGTGAAGCAGCAGAAAGCATTTAGCAGTGTTATATTCAAGGTTTGATCACCCAGTATGATCCCAGTTAATAGAGGTTAAAGAGGCTAGATAGACAGCGCCAGTATGTAGCGAGAATAAAAGGAACATAAAACAAACCATGAACCGTCAGCTGCTTGTATCTTTTCAATAAACCTAACAGCCTGTTTGATGCAATTCTCTATCTCTTCTCTTCTATGACCAGGATACAATCTTTTGAATGATACTAGGGCTTGAATAGCAGCTGAAGTACATTCAACATAGCTACAAATAAATCACGGTCAAACTCGAATAATTATGATAGAAAATTAAATCATAACCTCTTGAGTAAAAGAAAATCTCATCACTTACGGATAATCAATGACGATGTCACCAAAGGTTTCAGCTGGATTTAGTAACTGAAACAGAGGATGTGCATAGCATATAAGATTATTAAAACATATAGCAACGTTAACATAAAGCAAACGACACCTACAAACCCACAGCAATTCAAACCAAGAATTATAAATGTTTAAGGCAAGCTGGCCTGTGTTTTTTCAGGCATCGCCCCTCTATAAAATCACAGAAGCAAAATCATATCTGGGCATTAGTACGCAAACATCCCTGGAGGACTGCACGGATCACAATGCAGAAGACAGAGCCCATCAGCTGACGGT